TCCTAAGTGCCCCACACACCACAGAAAATTTCCTTACTTCTAAGGCAAGGATTGAAGCAAAGGATGTGAAGCCGTAAGTGCAGTGTTGTAGCTGCTGGAGGGATGAAAAATGTGGGGTTTTATGACACTGAGAGAGCATTTTAGATCTATGATATTTGCTTGGTAAATCTGACAGTGGAACTTGGAGCTTGCCTCTCTGATATGGAGCAAAAATCAGTAAAATTTGAGCCCAGATTTGGCTCTCAGTAAAGCTTTATGCCATTCTCTAAAATACACCAACAATTTCATTATTTCAAGACTGCTTCTCTGTGCTTTAAGCAAAGAAAAGATACTAAGCTTGCTCAACGAGCAAGAAGGAGTTAAAACTTAGTAGAAAACTTTTTTTTTGGGAAAAAGTGCAGGGAGGAGGTTTGTGGTACCTGCTTTGTTTATTTTTGCAGCTGAGGTTTTTCCCTGGGAGGGTGCCAGCTCTCCAGAGCAGAGCTGCTCCATGGACAGAGGAGCATTTACAGCTGAGCTCTGTTTAATTTATGCTGTGATGGATCACTTGAGTGGGAGACACCAAGASTGAATTAACAGCTTTAGTAAAAACACACTGTTTGTCTTACCAGTGCATTTTCATTTAGCATTGCTTTGCTTTCATATCTCCCTCTGGTCACTATTCTTGCCCAGAATAGTGGGCTCTTTCCTTTTGTCTCCTGACTTTCAGGTTCTTTTCCTGCCCTGTTTGTATTGCTGGCTTTCTTTCTATTTGTTTTTTCTGGGATTTTGTTGTTGTTGTTGTTGTTGTGGTTTTTTTTTTGTTTGTTTGTTTTTGTTTTTGGATTTTTTAATTTGTTTTTTTTGGTTTTGGGTTTTGTTTTGTTTTTCTTTCCTCTTCCTGGAGCTGGTTTACTGAATGGATTGATTTTGTGAATGTAACCCTGGAAAACAAACAGTTGCTCATAACTGTCTGGTTCAGTAGAGACRTGGTACAGGTGTTTCACTGAAATTTAAACTCTAGTTTGGGCAGTGTGCATGTGGCATTAAACTCTGTGTTTTGAAACACAGTGATCATAAAACCAGTTATGGTTTTGTCTCTTAGGAACAAAGAAAATGACTCTGATGGGCAAGGTGCTGTACAAAATCTGCCCAGATATTGTCACAGAACCACAGGCTGAATGGATTTCAGCAGATCAGTTCATTGTGCTGCCCATGGCAGGATTAATTGTTCCCATGTAATTCCTGGAAGGGTCTGTCCATCTCTTYCTTGAAGGCCCCCAAGGATGGGCTTCCCAGGGTGATTTAATCCAATATTTTCTCCACTTCCCGTTAGAGAACTTCTTTCACATTTAATATATATCCACATATAATATAAATTTCTCTTATTGCAGTTCAGGCTCTTTGTTTCTCTCCAGAGCCACCACAAATATTGCAAAAGAGATTTCTCCATCTTGCAGCTCTCCTTTCCTCAATCTCATTTTTCCTTCTGGCTGGATGACAGCAGTGAATTCAGGCTCTCCCTGTGTCTCTCCTTTCTAATCTCCCTCTTTTCCTTTCCAGAAGCTTTGCTGGTGCTTTTCCTCCCCTGAGGAGGGCTGGGGGCTGCAGGYTCCACTCCTGTCCATGTTCCAGTGAGGTGATATTTTTCACAAATCAATTACAGAGTTTATTCATGCTCAGCTGGAAATCCATTGCAACTTCCAAGAATTGTTATGAAAAATAACAGGCCTGACCCTGACTAATCACTCCCCATTTCCAATTTGTGCTGCTGATTAATYCTACCTGAGTGCAGCACTTTAGTTTTGCTGAGAGAGATTTAGGGTGTGTTTTACAGCCAGACARAGGGCTCAGGTAGAGAAGGATAAAGTCACTTAGACAAGATCATGTAGGAAGTTTGAAGAAGAGCCAGGAATTGCTTTGGAGTGAGCTCTGGATGKMTCATSARTCAGTCTCCTCCCAGGTTTTAGTGSAAAATCATGGSAYTGAACACTGAAAATGTGGCAAGCTCTCCATCTGACTCATTTGCACTGATTTTGTGGACCTCACTAACCAGACTCAGCAAGATGAATATTTGCCAGCCATCTCTTAGGATTTCCTGCACGTTTGCCCTGCACATTCAAATTCATCATGGTTAAGGCAAAAATATATTCAAAGATGAAGTYCTGTGTCCTACTTTTTTTWAAATTTATTTTTTAAGAAGCAGAATAGATAGGTTTGTATTTATTYTGTATTTATTCTTTCTTCTTTTTACAGCCTTCATAAAGGCAGAATGAAATCAAGAAGTGCTAATTTTGCAAGATGGAAATGCTGGATGAATTGCCTTGCAGGCAGATGGACCACCAACCTATTGCACAGCAGAACTTTGTGTTTCATCTCCTCCCGAGCCTAACAGCCATTATGATCTGATTTTTGAATGAGAAAAACAAACACGTAGAGCTGGAAGAGTCGCGATTTGGAAGGGCTGGAAAGCACCTGTGGGTGTTGTGTTGGCATTGCAAGGTTTGAAATAGAACCACACAGACTCACCTTGTCCCRTCTTGCAGCAATTCTGCCTCTCGAAAATTGCAGCAGGGGGATTTCTGAGGGMAATGAATGCCCTCCAGTGGCAGAAAATAGAGCAGGATGGGTTTATTTTCCATAATTGTTGTGGAATTGGTGTGCGTGATTCAAGTTCAGCCTAGAGTGTGCACACTGAGAACGGGCACTGTCAGTAAGAATTCTTCTTTTGTCACTAAAAACAAGGTGATGCACATTAGGGTACTTTTGTATCCTAACCCTTGTATTGTGAAGGTGACCATAGTCTATCATAGAAAATGGAGTGTTTCTTTGATAATTTATARTATGAAAGCATCCYTCAAATGTCTTGCAATCTATTTCTRTGTTTGTAATAAAGAGGTGACATGGGATGGAAACAAATTCAAGCTGCCTCAATGTATTGGATTAAATAAAATAATTACCAAAGACAATAAGTCACTTTTCTTTTGATTTAAAAGCTTAGCAAATTTGATAAAGATACTAAGAGTTGTATAGGCATGAGCACAGAAAAATATGTTATTTTTCTTTTAAAAAAAGTAATTTATTCTTACTTTTTTCTTTTTCTTGAGGGCTTGTTATGAACATTTCTAACATAAATTATAATAATTTATAATTATAATATACATTATAATTATACATTATACATTATATAAAATGTCTTCTATAATGTCTTCTTATACATTAACATAAATGTATAAGAAGACATATAATATTATTAGAAATTCAAGGGAGGAAGAAACACCTTACTTAAAGAAAAAAACATATTTTTCTGCTTTCTTCATGTTGGTTTCCAAAGAYAATTTCCTCCATGATCCAAATGATATTTGTTTGCTGATGAAACATGATACATTAAAAGTYGGGATTCTCTGAGAAAACTGATTTCCTCTTTCCAGGCTGCAGCTGAAAGTTAAGCTTCCAGCTTTCAAACACGAGTTGTAACTTCATTCTCCACAACTCAAACAATAGAAGTGATTCCTGTTGACTTTCCTGTTGAAAACTGGTGTTCTGAAAATTCATCARTCAATATTGCCTCATATGCTCGTGTGCCCTCGTGTGTATTGACAGGGGTGCAGGCTGGAAGATGTGAGCTCCTGTTGACACAGCTTTACTCTGAGAAAAAGGTACATATCTGCATGTTTAACCAGAGAAGTGGTGTTTGACATTACTCCTTTGAAATCAAGCACTGCAGTTAATTTGTTCAAACAGCAGATTGGTGTGAAATCGTGCTGTGCCCTCAGCCCTGCTCTGGCCAGACCGAGTGAAGGAGTAAAATTAGAAAAAATCTGTTCTGCTGATCTGGAAACATCTGGGATGCACAAAACCCACAGTCAGGGACTAAATAAACTAAACAGACATCATTGACTATGGAAATTATACCTGTCCTTGTGTATATATATATATGTATATAAATATATATATATGTATGGGTGTATGTGTGTAGTTGGAAGGTGCAGGATCTGAGCATGGTATAGATGAGCAGGATAATTTCCTGCTTGTGCCCAGGACATGTTTATTTTTGCAGTAGCTAAGAGGGAGGATGTTCTGTACCACCCCACATCATTGCTGGGCATAGGGGAAAGGGCYTCTCTTCCTGGGAGAAGGGGTTCCTTCATGTGGAGAAAATGTGGYGGACAAAATGTTCTGGTATTTGTAGGGGTTTTCTGTGTAAATAATTTATTTTCTTATACCTTTTGTCAATATTGTTGCTGTTAATGTTCATTTTCTTATCTCAACCTGTGACCTTTGCCCTCTGTGCCTCCAGCTGGTGTGCAGAGAGGAAACTGCAGGTGATTTTACAGGAGCAGTAAATTGGAAAACACCATTCCTAAACCATGAAACCATGGTTACAGAATCTAGTGGATTGCCTGCTTCTGGACAAAAAAATGCTGTTTTCAAATTCAAAATCTTCRAAGACAATTCAAAAATCTTCAAGATAATTCAAAAATTCAAAGAAAATCACTTTGCACACTGATTTAAAAAAAAAAATCACATAAACTTACAGATGAGCAATATATTTCATCGATCATGAATGAAATGAATCAATTCAAATGAATCATCAATTCAAAGAACACGGCACAGATAAATTTTAAATTGTTAAGAATGTTTCTTAGCTTACAGAAATCAAAARTATATTTATGATAGAATGGTTTGGGTGGAAAGGGACCTTCAAGACCATCTCTTTCTGTCCCCTCTGCCGCAAGCAGGGATACATTCCACTAAACCAGGGTGCTCCAAGCCCCATCCAACCTGGCCTTGAACATTTCCAGGGATGGGGCAGCCACAGCTTCTCTGGGCAACCTGTTGCAGCACCCTCACAGAAAAAAAATTCTTTTGAATATCTGATCAAAACCAACCCTCTGYCAGTTTAAAGCCATCCCGTGACAAGCTTTTGTCAAAAATGCTGTTAATTTCTGAAAAGAAGACTYACGTTTTTAATATTATTGCTGTCATTGAGGTTCAATAATTTACATTTTGTTGAAGAAAGCTCAATCCCCTTTGAGAACTCTCTTCCTGAGGATCCAGAGCCGGGACATGACCACATCCCAGTCTGCATAGGCGCCCTCCAGGTGGCGGCTCAGCTCTGCACAGGGTGAGTAACTCTGGCGGCCGTGAAGAACACGCCAGTTATCAAATGTCACAACATCTCCTAGAAAGAGATTGCACAAAGGTCAGTAGTTGGAATATTGTAGCTGATTCCTTAAAAAAAAAATTCATATCAACAGCTTTAATAATTTTAAGTAGCTCAGCTGGAGATTTGCATAGATGACATGGTGATTTTAACTTTCTCAACCAGAAAGGTCAGTTCCCTTTTGGCATCCCTTTCTTTTCTTGTATAATAAGGAGTTAAAAAGCAGAGTGGTAGAGGAGTCCATAGTGGGAAATCTAAGCCTTGAGGAGAAAGGCAACTACAGCAAATCCACACAGGTGAAAAAACAAAAAAGGTGGAAGCCACAAGGATCCTTTTAATTTGATCAATCTAGCACTACTTGTACTATACACATACACATTATCCCTGTCAAGAGAATTTTATGAGAACAAAGACACTGAAACTTAGGAAATCACATAATTAATGCTAGAATGCCAATTAAATATTCCTCCCTTGTGTGCCACCATTATGATAAATCTTGAATTAAATAACCTCACAGTCCTTCTTATCTTCCCYGCATTCCCTCTACCACCATTTTGATGCATTAATCAAAAAAAAGGGATGTCACTAATGTCATGTAAGGCCCTTTGTTTTCCTCTTTATATGATCTTACACATTATTTATTGCATGTTTCCAATGGAGAGAGATTAATTTCCTTGCAGACCTTTTAAAGACACAAGTACCCCAACATGAGGCAGTCAGATACACCAATGAATTTACTTTTGTAACATCTCCTGAGGGATTCATATCTTGATGTTACAGCTGGGGAATTACAGAAAAGAGATTAAGGCCACACATGAAATCACCCATAACATTTCCCATTTATGGTGCTAATTGATACATCAATTTCCAATCTGGTTTTGGATTTAGTACAAAAATACATTTGACTAATCTATAGATAGACTATTCCCCTCCGCCATTTTTTCTTCTTTATAGCATAGCAGTGGCAAAAAAAATCTATTAGATGAATGTAAGAATGCAGTATGAAGTAAAATAAATCATAGAAAGACTCWAAGTTCCTCTCAGTACTGGTGCTAACAATGTTCAAGTGTTTTGACTGCTAGGAAAAACGTGAAAAAAAAACATTGTGAGGAGAAGCAGCTTACTGACCTGGTTTCAGCTTGTAAGTAAACTTGTGCTCTGCACTGTTTAATAAATCATTAAATTCCTTCAGAGCTGCATAAAATGGCCTCACTTTTTCAGCTGGTATGTCAAACACTGTGTCTCTTGTTGCATTATTATAATTGATGCGAATTGCTTGGCCTCTGGAATCCGTGCTGTGAAACAAAGGGAAGGGGGAAAAAAGGAAAGGGGAAAAGAAAAAAGAATGCATTCTGTTGTTACTGAAACAGTTTAAGATGGTTAAACAACAGCTGAACCCTCCTGCTGAAATATCAGTATATTTCTGTTGTAAAATGCAGATTGTTATTGGGTTGGATTTTGTTAATTAAGCCTAACTGGGAAAAGAGATAATCAGGAGAAAGTTTAGACACTTAATTTGCTCAAAAATCTATATCATACACCCTTTAATTGCAAACTTTAAAAAAAAAAATCATAAACTTTTTAGAATCAGACAAGAATAYGAACATTTGTATTTCATTTTTGATAACATATAATGGTTAATCTAAATATTTCAAATTATCACCGCTCCTTGGCATGGTGTATATGTACACTGGGTGGCATTTAGTAACAAATCTGGCTGCTGTTAACACGTACCTATGCCTGGGAGTTGCTCTAATTACCACCACTTCTTGCTTGTGTGTGGCAAAACTGGGTAAGTGGTATGAGAACAAGTCACACATTAGCAAAAAAA